CGCGCCACGTCGCCCGGCAAGAGCTGCTCGCCAGTGGAGGCGCTGGCGTACCTTCGGGCCATCGCGCTGTGCAAATAGCGGCGCGCCCAGAGGTCGTCGCCGCCGAGGTCTGCTGCCTCGGCGGGCCAGCCTCCGCGCCGCTGGAGGCACTCGCCCACCACGCGCAGGCGCAGATCCTCCGGACAAGATCTGACTAGCAGCTCATCCCGCAGCGCGTCGACACCTTGCGGCCTCTGGATATCCCTCTGCGTCGCGCGCATACCCCAGACCTTCGCCTCGTGCAACGCGGCCATGGAGCTCCACGTGCGCCTGCGAAGCGCCTCCCTGCGATCGGCGTCCATGGCGGTCGCCGTGCCCGGGGCCCGCTGTCGGGTCTGTCGCACGGCCTCCAGGACGTCTTCCACGACCTGCATTTGCTTCCTCTTGCGGGTAGGGACGTTGAAGGCACTCGCCGCCTCCCCCAACCAGTCGTCATCGAGCGCTTTCCCCGCCTCGATCTGTCTCAGCCGTTCCGAGCGCCGGGCGCTCTCCAGGTCGTAGCGGCTGCGCGTCAGGCGCCCTCGCAAGTCATCCGTGGCCAGAGAAATCAGCAGGTCCTTACACGCGTCCTCGTTGCGCTGGTTGCAGTTGGAGTAGTCTCTACATTCCACCTGCGGCCCTTCGTCCGCGGCGGCCGTCCTCTTCCTGCGGCCGGGCTTGCCCCTGCCTCCCGCGAGGCCCCAAAAATCAGCAGCGTAGCGGGAAGCGGCGAAGTCGGACGCCGCAGGGCGCTTCCGCGCCAGCATGGCGCCCGGCGAAGCCGCCCGGCTGACCCTGGGGGTGCAATCGCCAGACGGCCCCGGGGCCGCGCGGCTGACCCTGGGGGTACACGCGCCACGCGGCCCCTCCGCGGGCAAGCGCGCGCCCGCACGGGAGTCCCCCGGCTGACCCTGGGGGTGGCGGGGAGCGGCGAAGTCGGACGCCGCAGGGCGCTTCCGCGCCAGCATGGCGCCCGGCCGGCGAAGCCGCCCGGCTGACCCTGGGGGTGCAATCGCCAAACGGCCCAGGGGCCGCGCGGCTGACCCTAGGGGTACACGCGCCACGCGGCCCGTCCGCGGGCAAGCGCGCGCCCGCAGGGGAGTCCCCCGGCTGACCCTGGGGGGGCAAGCGACGCGCGGCCCCGCCCGCGGGCGCGGAGAGCCACTCGAACAACGGAAGTTGGAGGAGGAGGAGGAGGAGGAGGAGGATATAGAACCGCATGCGTGGAAACGTTTTCACGACACGGGAAGGGAGCCAGCGCGAGTTTTCAACGAATCGGCGTGCCGAAATCATGGCGACTGGGAGCGCGCGACGGCTGGGCAACGTTTTCGCGGCACTTTTCTGGGCGACGTGTTAGGGGCTGTGCTGTGCAGGGACGTGACTTGCTGGGTTGAGATGTGCCGTGCTGCGTTGAATCGCGCCGTGCTCCACTTCGTTGTGGGCCAAGTCGCCCTTGGCATCCGAATCGTGGCCGAACTGATCTGGATCTTAAACTCAACCTGCCTGGCCCCCGCGCTGGCCCGCGCGGCGCCCCCGGGCTGGCGACTCGCGGGGTTGATCGACCAACTCGAGCTAAAGATCCAAATCAGTTCCGACGCGCCGAAGCGCGGCCCAGGCCCCGAAACTCTGGCGTTTCGAATCAATCGGACTGATACGGTGATCTCGTGCGCTCCCTGACCACGCACTCGCCCTGGCGGCGCCGGCCCACTCCAGCTCAATATCCGAATCAGGTCCGACGCGGGAAGGGAGCCAGCGCGAGTTTTCAACGAATCGGCGCGCCGAAATCATGGTGACTGGGGGCGCGCGACGGCTCGCAAGAGAAGCGCCCCCGCGCGCTCCGGCGGACCCCGCGGGCGCAATGCCCCGAATGGAGGAAGACCGGGCTGACCCTGCGGGTGCAATGCCCGGCGAGAGAAGGAGAGGCAAATGGGGGGCCGGCTGACCCTGAGGGTGCAATATCGGGCAGGGAAAGAGCGAGGACGGGGGGCTGACCCTGAGGAATGCCCAGCGAAAGGAGCGGAGAGGCGAAGGGGTGGCCGGCTGACCCGGAGGGTGCAATGCCGGGCAAGGCAAAAAGCGAGGACGGGGGCCGACCCTGAGGGCGCGATGCCCAGCAGCGAGGGGGGCGCGGGGCCGACGGAAAAATACGAGGGCTGGCCCTGACGGCGCAGCGCCCCCGCGGGCGGCAGCCACGGCGCGCGCCCAGCAGGTAGACGGCGTCGTGGCGCGCGTGATTGGCCCCCTTGCACTAGGGTCGACCGAGCCTACGAATCGCCGGACTCCTACTTGGTCTCCTGGACGCACCGGACTTTCGTAGGCGTCTCAGTGATCAACTCCTTGGCCGGCCGCTTTCCCGCGAGCGACGTCTTCTTGGACACCAACAGTTCGCGACAGCCCTTGAGCTCCTCCTTGAAAGTGCTGCGAACGTCCGGCATGTCCTTGCACGAGAAAATATTCTCGGCCACGAGCGTCCACGCGAGGTTGGATCCCTGCGGGCGGCCGACGACGAGGTAGTCCACGTCCTCCTCATCCATGAGCGACGCGCCCGCCCGACTCTTGGGCACCAGCATCTCCACGCGGAACGGGGCGGGGTCGTCGGCGCCGTCCGCGACAGTGGACACGACCTCCTCGTGCGTGATCTCTTCCATGTCGCCGAGGTCCGCGCGCGTCGGCTCACCCCGGGCGCGCGCCAGGACCATGACGCACTCGGCGACGCAGCCGGTCTGCTTGCACTTGGCGGTGGACAACGTGTCCGTCAGGTCCGTCGCGAGGTTGGAGACCGGAAGGACGGCGCCCGCGCCGTGGTCTGCGACGAGCGACAACACTTGCTTGAGGGCGGGCCGCCGGGGCGCGCCCCAGGGCACCATCAGCGCTGGCGTCACCTTCAATATGGCGAAGTTGCACTCCGCGCGAGCGTCGTCCGACCGGCTCTGCTTGGCCTGCGATAGCCTGGCCACCTTCTCACGGTTGGCGCCGAGGACGACGTCGCATCGGACCTGGAAGCACATGCCTGCGACAGTGCGCTGCTCTATCAACTGCTGCAACTCGTCGAGGTTCGCGACGCCGGCGAGCGCGACCAGGCTGTTCTCGTCCGCCAAGATGTCGTCCATGCCGCCCGTAAAATCCCCCAGGGTCACAGAGCTCAAAGCGGATTTGTTTGTGTCTGGCTCTGGCCGGCGCTTCATGAAATGCTTGCAGTTGCCCTCCGGGTTGATCTTGGCGCGGCAGTGCTTGCACTTCGTGTACACGGGGTCGGGGTTGGAGACGCCCGTGAGCCACGCGCCGTGCACCTCTACCTGCACCTCGGCGGGCAGTGGCCGGCCCCCGGAGACGGGCGACTGGGTGGATGCCTCCATCACGGCGTTCGGCGGGCTTGCTGCGTCGGCACTTTCCGTCCACGAGAGGGAGCAGGTCTTCAATGTGCGCAGGCAAGTCTTGTACAAACCCTGCTTCGGGCTCTGCATGCGCACCACCGCGCCGCTCGGGGCCCACACCGCAGACATGCGTTCGCCCACCGTGGCGCTCAGGGCTCTCAGCTCCTCGGCCTTCTGGTGGCGCGGCTGCAAATGCGCCCAAGCACATGCGTTCTGGGAATCCTTGAAGAACTCGGCAGTCAGGTGGACCTGGCCGGACTCCTTCCTCACGACGCGCGCGTTCTCCACCTGCAACACGACGGGGTCTGCCTCTTCCTCAACGTCGCCCAGGCCGTGGGCCCCCTTCACCATGTCGTAGAACGTGTCGCCCCACAGCTCCACGAGAATCGACTTGCCGCTCTCCTCGTCCTTCAGCCAGACCTCGACCTTTTTGATCGACGCCACTGCCCTCTGCTCCACCACGCGGCCCACGACGTCTACTCGATCCCCGTTGTTGCACATCCCCACGTCGCGCAGGCCCCCGCGAGGCGCCACGGGCCCCGAAGGTAGCTGGGAGGCGTCGGCGCCCGCCAGGGCAACGCAGCGCACGTTGGACTTCGGGTTCAGGTTGATCACGCGGCCGCCGCTGTAGTACGAGCTGCTCTTCACCGTCACGTTGCTGAATGTCCCCGCCTTGCCCGGGAGGTACAGGCGCGCCTTCATCAACACGTCCTGGGTAGACTGGCCAGTGAGCTCGAACCAAATGGGTGCACCAGTGTGGTCGAGGAAACGCCCCACGCCCTTCGCGAAATGCTGCACTTGCTTCGCCTCGAAGAACACGCACTTCAGTCGAGCGGTGTACCCCGGGGCTGGCCTGTTGAGCGGGAACGCGGCAATCGACTTCTGCAAGGCCATCGGCACGCGCCGGGCAGCCAAGGGGCCGCGCGGCTGACTCTGGGAGTGCAAAAGCCGCGCGGCCCCTTTCGTGGACGTGCGCGTTAGTGTCGCGCCCGCGCGCTCCCAGCCACGAGCCAAAAAACAAAAACGGAGGACGACGGCGGAATGCAGGAAGATGAGGATGAGGACGGTTGGGGCTTGCTCCGTGGCGATTCAGTTCCAAAAGCGGTGCGACGGGCAACAGGCACGGTGCAGATATCGACGGCGCCGACGCGCCGACCTCGAGAACGCACGGCCCAACGGAGAGAGGGTGGACATGGGCTGACCCTGAGGGTGCACTGCCCGGCGGAGAGGAGGAGAGGCGAACGGGGGGGCCGGCTGACCCTGAGGGTGCAATGCCGGGGCAGGAAAAGACCGAGGACGAGGGCTGACCCGGAGGGTGCAATGCCCGGCGGCGAGCAGGAAAGGATAACGGTGAGACCGGCTGACCCTGAGGGTGCAATGCCGGGGAAGGAAACGCGCGGGGGCGGGGGCTGACCCTGGGGGTGCACTGCCCAGCGGAGAGGAGGAGAGGCGAACGGGAGCACGGCTGACCCGGAGGGTGCAATGCCGGCGCAGGAAGACAGCGAGGACAGGGGCTGACCCCGAGGGTGCAATGCCCGGCGGAGAGGAGGAGGCCGACCCGGGGGCCGGAATCCTAGGGCGGTGCGGGAAAACGACAGGGCTGCTGGCCTACTCAGAAACCCAGGGCGCGGAGCAAAGAGGCAAGCTCGGATCTGCCGCAAGCGCCTGCACGGCGCCCTCCTTGGACAATTTCTGCCGCTTCAGCTCCGGCGGCAAGCTGGCGTGGAGCTCCGCGGCGGACCTCCTGCGCAGGAGGAACGCCCTGCACTCGTGGCCCTTCCAATTGCTCGTCTTGCCCGGCTGCGGGTCGCCCCCCGCCGCCCGGACCAGCTTCCGCAATTCCTCCAGCGTGAGCTTCCGCGGGCGCTCCACCGCCCCCGCCGCGACGAGAGCTCCCAGCTCGGCCCGGGTCGTCTGGCGAGGCACGACGTGTCCGAGCGCCGCCGCCTTCGTTCGCAGGTCGTCGAAGGAAGCCGCGCCGTCGCCGCGGGCGCCGCACATCCGATGGCACGCCTGTGGGCGTCGGGCCACGCCTGCCCCCGGAAGCGCCCGGAAGCCGCCGGGCGCTCCCGGCCGGCTGACGATCGTCAGTGTCCCCTGCCACCCATGATTTCGGAACGCCCCTCCCCCGCAAAACAACGAGAAGCAGCCCCACGCTCGAAGAGGGGGGTCGGGGGGCCGGCGGGGGTGGGGCCGGCGCCATCGCTCGACGACCGGTAGACCTCGAGGACGCCTGCGGCGGCGCTCTGCATGGATAGCCATTCTGGGATGGCGAGCGTCGCGATCTTAGGGGACAGTCGGTGTGTAGCCATGTCCAGCAGGAGTGCGCGCATGGCCGGCTTGTCTGCGGACGTGTCCGGGGTGTTCGTCTTCTTCAGGACGTAGCCCACCACCGCCGCGGCCTTCTCGGTGATGTACACCGCGTGGCAACGCGAGCCGCCCGCGCAGCCAGATTCCATGATCTCCCCGTGGTACGCGCGGATGCCCCCGAGCTGCTCCTCGGTCGCGTCGGCCAACCAAACCATGAGCTCTTGGAGCTGCCGCACGCCGAACTTCTGCACGCACTGTCGCACCTCGCACAGGTGCACGAGCACTGTCTGCCATGTGATCGTGTCTGGTGCCCGAACGTGAACGACCGAGCACCCGAGCCCGCGAACGCGCTCCTGCAGCTGGCCCATCATGTCCACGAACGAGGCGTGGGTCGGCAAATGGAAGAGCGCGAAGACCCGGTTCCCCACCTCGTCCCCGACGGACTCCAATCGACCCCTGGATTGCCCCGTCGCCATCGCGGCACGCAGCCGGGCATCATATTCCGCCACGCGCCGGTGGAACACCGCGCCGGCCACCTGCGCGAAAGACCTAGCCAACGACATCGACGTGTATCTGCCAGCTTTCTTGAGGCAGCCTTTCTGGAGGGCCAAGCCAACCTTCTGCCGCACAGACTCCCACAGAAACAATACATCATCTGTGTTGACGACGTACCCGCGATTCAGAATCTTCCGGACCACGGTGCTCCAGGCTTCCGACGCGGACTCGAAAAGCACCCTCGCCTGCCGGCTGCGCGCAAGGGTCTGGATGGGGTGGATTCCGCTGTAGCCCATGTTCAGCCCTTCCGCGTGTGCCAACTGGCGCCACGTCTTCCCGAGCACCACCGCCCCGGCTTTCACGGCGGCCAGCAGCCCCTGAAGGGAGCGGGAGCAACCTGCGCGCCCCGTGCTCGCCGCCTTACACGCCGCCAACCTACGCCGAAAGCGGCGCACGATGTGCGCGCTAGTAAGGCATCGCAGACTCCCTACGGGGGGCGCGCAGGTTGCTTCCGTTGCAATGCCTGCCAAACAGCTGCAGCGAGCTCATCGGCCTGGAACGCGCGCACCCATTCGCGCTTGCAGAACAGCCCGCCCACGATCTCCACACCGCGTTTGCCCCGCACCAGATGCAGCAGCAGAAGCAGGCGCGCCAATAGCACTTCGAAGCGCACAGCCATGGCGCAAGCGAGCCCCCCAAGGGGAGTCGCCCAGCTGACCCTGTGAGTGCAAGCGCCAGACGGCCCCGGGAGCGCGCGGCTGACCCTGGGGGTACAAGCGCCGCGCGGCTCCTCCGCGGGGAAGCGCGCGCCCACAGGGGAATCGCCCGGCTGACCCTGGGGGTGCAAGCGCCGGACGGCCCCGGGGCCGCGCGGCTGACCCTGGGGGTGCAAACGCCGCGCGGCCCCCCCGCGGGCGCACGCGCCAGGCCCGCGCCCGCGCGCCCCCCAGCCTCGAGCCGGAAAAGCGGATGACGACGCAACGCGAAAGGGGAGTTCTTGAGGAAGCCACCTTTCTGAACTGAAGTGGTTCTTAAGCTCGAGCTGCCTGGCCTCTTCTCTCGTCCAGCGTCGTCGTCGTCGGCGTGGTCGTTGCCGCTGCGTCGTCGACGTCGGTGTCGCCGGCGGCGTCGTCCGTCGTCGACGTCGGCGTCGTCGGCGCCAGGGAGGGGGGCCCTGGGAGACAGCACTGGGCGAGGCCCCAAACCAGAGGACGTCTGCCTTGGAGGGAAAGCCGGCAGGGAACAGGAAGGCGAGCTATTCGAGCCGCGGTAGCTGAATGGAAGGGAGGAGGAGGAGGAAAGGAGGAAGAGGGCGAGGAGGAGGAGGGAGAAAAGGAGGAGGAGGAGGACGCAGGGGACGAGGAGAAGCAGGAAGAGAAGAAGGAGGAGGACGAGGAGAGGGGATGAGGGAGGAGGAGGAAGCAGAGGAGGAGGCATGACGGCCCAACGACAACCCAAAGACACCCCAGGACGGCCCAAGTGCGCCTCGGGACACGGCAAGACTAATAATTAGGACTGGCAAGCCTACTGAGGTCCCCACGTCCCCAGACAGGCAAGCTTGAGTAGGTCGTCGCAGGGGGGGTGCAACTCTGGGGGCGCAAACAGCGGGGCCCCGCACTTCTGGAGCACCCTCATCCTCATCCTCATCCTTCTCCTCATTCTCATCATCATCCTCATCCTCACCGTCTCTTCATCATAAATATTATCATGACCATCATCATCATCGTCGTCCTCGTCCTCATCCTCATCCGGCCCACCCGTCTCGTCATCCTCCTCCTCCTCCTCCTCATCCTCCTCCTCCTCATCATCATCATCCCGCTTACTCCTCCCTTCGCATCATTCATTATCCTCCTCCTCCCCACTCTTCCTCCCTGGTGGGTGTCTGTGGAAAAGAATTTGGGCTCTTGCGGTTAGCGTGAAAACGCCCGACCCGGAAATGGAAAAGTGGAAAAGTGGAAAAGTGGAAACAACAGAAGGAAGTGGAAAAGTGGAAAAATGGAAAAGTGGAAAAGTGGAAAACAACAGAAGGAAACAGAAAAGTGGAAAAGTGGAAAAATGGAAAAGCGGAAAACCACAGATGGAAATGGAAAATTGGAAAAGTGGAAAAGTGGAAAAATCGGAAGCAACAAAAGGAAACGGAAAAGTGGAAAAATGGAAAAACGGAAACCAACAGAAGGAAACGGAAAAGTGGAAAAGTGGAAAAATGGAAAAGCGGAGCGCCACAGAAGATAAGGAAACGGAGCATTGGGAAATATTAAAAATCGGAAACCAGAAAACAACACAAGGGAACGGAGTAGCGGCAAGGGGGGAAGAGTAAGTAAGCATCGTCCATCGATTTCCGTCCTCCGTCGTCCTCCGCCTCCAGTCCTCATGCCCCCTCCTCCTCTTCCGTTTCCTCCTCGTCCTGTTTCTTATTTGCCTTCCTACGCCCAGCGAATAAAACATCGTCCCCGGGGCCCCTCCAGGGCCGCGTCTGGGAAAGAACGTCGACGGGGAAACTGTAATTTCTCCAGGAAGCCCGGGAAAAGGGCGAAAAACACACCAAATGTCCAGGGCCCCATCGGAAACCTAGCTCCTGCGCGCGACGACGACGGCGGCGGCGTCTCCGGGGACAGCGGCCGCGGCAGCGGCGGCCGGCCGCCGGCTTCTCGGGCAGCCGACCGTTCGGGTCGACGGCCGACCGCGAGGGGGGGAGGACGGACAAAGGATAGAGGACAAGAGGCGGATGCATGGACGAGATGGCCCCACGACTGCCAACCAACCAACGAACCTTCCAACCAGCCTGAGACTGCCCAGGATGACCCCGATACTGCCTTGAGACGGCCCGAAGACAGCCAACCAACCAACCAGCCAAACTGCCAACGACTGCCTAAAGTGGCCCCCCGACTGTCTTGAGATGGCCCCAAGACCGCCAACCAACCAACCAGACGGCCGGCCAACGCGCCAAGCAGCCAACCAACCAACCGGCCGCTCCAGTTTTCAATGCAGAAAGCCGCCATGGCGCAAAATACATTGCAAAAACCGTATCCAGCGCACAAGCCCACCGACACGAAAAAGTAGATTCTCAAGAAGATTCTACTTTTTCCACTTTTTCGCGCCTCTCGTTATTTCGCATGAAACGCAAGGAAACCTTGAGATGAATGCTAGTCGCTTTTGAAAACTCATACTCTCGTGGGGCAGCGGCTGAGGAAACCTGAACGGCCTGAGAAAAGGAATCCCCCGTCGTGCCAGGCCATGCAAATATTCTCTTGGAGAGATACTGCACTCATGCGCCGCAGCTCTTTCTTGAACTGCTTTGTGTGCCAATTGCACACCAACCTCTTCGGCAGCTTCGCATTGATGCGTTTCAACGTATGCCGCACGCGATTCTCATTGGCCACGTGCCGTTTCCTGTGGTCTTTCTCCTCACCATACCAGCAAAAGAAAAATTTATTTGCATTGGGGCCTGCAATGACGAGAGCCTGCCACTGCTCAGACCACGCGAATAACTGAGACGGCATTTGCATGTCCGCACAACCCAGCGGCGCTAACATATTTTTGATTATAAATCGAGTCGAATCTTCTCCGCCGAAATCACCTAGAGATAACATGTGCTGAAAAGCCTCGTCCACGCTACTGGCTTTGGCAATGCCAACCAATGCTTTTAATTTATCCCCTTCGAATGTATTGAGCACTGCCGCCGCGCACGTGGCATTCTGTCCTGGGCCAACGCCTACAAAATACCTTGAATCGGACGTCTTCCCGTCACCACATGGCCCCTTATGGTTTTGGATAAACGAGAAGACATCATCCATCTCTGTCAAGCGCGGGGCTTCGCTCTCCAAGAAAAAGGTTGCAACCGAGCGGCTTCTGCCCGACCACACCAAGAATGTTGTGCGAATCGCGCCCATCTTGTCCTTGAGAGTCCGCGCGCCGGCACGCAAGCGATCATACAACGGTAAAAACCCTTGAATGTCATCTTCCAGATGAACGTTGTGGCGCTGGCTGTGGATAAAGTCAGATGCTAATGAGCACTCTGGAACACCCGGCGTCATCAATTCGCGCACCCGGTTCCTCCTTAGCATCATGCGATGAAACTGGGAGGTGCTGATTTCACCGCCGTCGACCGTGGTCTCTAAGACAAAATCTTTAAATTCTTGCAACAGCGTTTCACTGTGCTCACCATCCTCGCCCTTGTGTACTTTGAAAGCTGCCCTTAGCTCACGGCCCATGATGTAAACCAAAAGAGTGTCATCCATCAAGCCTTCCCAATCATCACGCCGCTCTCCTGGGTTATCGAACAAGGCTTGGTACGAGCCTCTAGAAATCGCGCCCATTTTGCTCCTTTTGAGAACGTTAGCTGCATGTGCCCATTTGACTTTCCCCGGGTTGTTCAATGCAGCCTTGCTGACCTCGTCGAGCCAAGGGCGACGCCCCGTCTTGTTGATTGCTTGCGGCGCTAGCGTGACACTCACAAGCTGGTAAACATCTGCTGGGAGATGCGCAGAGAAAAAGTGAAGTACGTGCGCTTGCTTTGCTAAAGACTTCCACGTGACATGCACCCTCGATTTTTCTAACCAGGACGTCTTGATCGCGCACTGGCGCGCTTCTGACCGAGCACGAATGCAGCTATGAACTGTCTGCGCTCGCCTGATAGATCCACAATCAAGTATCCAATCAAATCCAGAGGGCGCCGCCATGCACGTAGAAGGAGCGAAATAACAAGTCCTCGCAAACGCAAAAGGTTTTACAGGTTTGGGGGGTTTTCTTGGTTTCGGTTTCCCGACGCTCCAAGACAGCCCAAGAGGCCCCCAAGATCGCCCCAAGACGACCCAAGACGGCCCCACGACGACCCAAGAGGCCCCCAAGACGGCCCACGAGGCCCCGAGGACGGCTCCAAGAGGGAGCCCATACGGGGGACCCGAACGAACATATCCAGCCCTCCGCCAGAAGGGCGCCCAGGAAGCCCCAACGAGGCTCCCAAGAGACCCCAAGAGCCTCCCAAGAGGCCGCCAAACTACCCCCGAGAGGCTCCCGAGAGCGCTCGTCGTCGTCGTCGTTCAGGGTCGGCGGCACCGGCCGCAAGGCCTCTCCAACAACAGTTCGTCGCAAATGCACAAAGATATTTGAGCCAAGAGCCAAAATGGCTACGACATGTTCAATACAATATTAAGGCAAGCAACGATTGCAATACGCCCCAGCACCCGGGAAGGACCTCTTGGGGGCCGCCTTGGGGTGGCATTCCTAAGGAGCTGTCGCCGTGTATGTCTATCCCCGTATTCTGAATCAGGACCGGCCCTGGGCCGGTCGGGGCGTCTTGGGGGCTTCTCTGGGGCATGCTGGCGGGCTCCGGGGTTCCTTTGGAGCGGAGGGCTCGAAAACTCAAATCCAGTTCCCCCTCTTGGGGCCTTCCTGGGGCCCTTTTGGGCCGTCATGGGATCCTCATGGGGGCCTTGGGCTCTTGGGCCGTCTTGGGGCGACCTTGGGACATCTTAGGTTGTCCTGGTCGCTGCAACGGTCCGAAAGGCAAACATGTTCCTCGTTTTTTTCTTCTCGCTGCGGGAAGAGGCGCCGAGGTGGCCCCAAGACCGCCTTGAGATGGCCCCAAAACCGCCAGCCAACCAACCAACCAGCTAGCCAACGCGCCAACCAGCCAACCAAACAACCGGCCGCTCCAGTTTTCAATGCGCACAGCCACAA